TAAAAGTCATTAGCGATAACGGTAAACAATTCATTAGTCAAATATTTGAAAAACATATGCAATGGACTTGGCATACGCCATATCAAAATGGTTCCGTATAGACCACAGGCAAACATAGCAGAAAGATTAATATAAAACATTGTAAAAATAATTCGAAGTTATGTTTAGCACACATCACAAGCGCTGGGATTGCTACATAAATGAGTTTAGCTTATGCTTTAAGAACGGCAAATCAGGATACTACGGGAAAAAACCCCAGCAGAATTATTTTTAGGACGAAAGTTAATTACGCCATTAGATAAAATTATTCTTTGTGCAACAAAGAGAGCAAGAATTTAAAACAGAAAGACGTGCAAACACTTATTGACCAGGCGGGTTAAAAGCCGGATACGGCAAGAAATAGGCAAAAATTATATTATGAGAAAAACGCCGTGAAGCAGATTTTAAAGTTGGGGATAAATGTTGAAGCGGAAATTTTCTTTATCAAGTGCCCCAGACAATTTTACTGCAAAGTTAGCTCCAAAATTTGAAGGCCCCTATGTAATTCAGGAAATCAAAGGAGTCGTATTGTACCTTAAGAACGAGAGAGGGAAATCTGTAAAGCAAGCCCGACCAGGTGAAAAATATTATAATTAAATGATTTTGAAAATCCTTAAAAGTTTCTTGCAGGACTCAAGTCTAAACGAAGTAGAAGGTCCAGAGATAACAACAACTGTTCCACCACCGAAGAAGCAGAGAACTGAAAAGAAACCTCGCCCTTCTAGAACCCATGCGACGGTACCGAAAAGAAGAAACGAAATCTTTCAGACTCCAGCATTTAAGATAAACAAGAAAGCAAAGCCGCCGCGTAAAGAAATCTTGGTAAAGAGGAAAACACCACTTACAACGTATCGCAGTAGAAATTATGACATCGAGGAGAACGCTCCCAGGGCCATAGAAGTCAGGTGCAAACAAGGCCGCCGTTCCCGAGAACGAAAAGACAGCAGAGGAACGAAAAGACCACCACCAACAGAAGAAATTCAAGCATGACTCCAGACCGGAGGACGCCAAGACCAGCCGTCCAAGGGAAAAACGGAAAAGACAGCAACCCGACGACTACCACTCCAAGAGGCCAGCATGCAGAGGGCGAAAGAGGAAAAGTAACGTGGACGACACTCGGAGGACATTAAGGAGAAGACTGACGTGCATGAAACCTATAACGTGGGAGCAGTTCTGCCAGAAAAGAATGTCGGAGTTCCAATCATCGAAAATGCAAAGATAAGTTAAAATCTTTTTATAAATTTTTCTTCTTCTTGTTCCGAACTGTTATGTGTAAATACGAAGTTCTAGGTTGTTGACGGAAGTCAATTTGTCTCGGTTGAGACTTAGTTTTGTTTTACTTGTATTTAGCCTAAAGCAAAAGCATAAAAGCATTATTTTCTTTAAGTGTAAATATCTAAGAACAAGCAGTTCATGTTGGTCGGAAGACTGCTAATTCTGTTATGTTAAAGCCAAAATTTCGCCGAATGATAAAATAGCTTCGTAATTCTTGTATTACTGGAAAACTTTAGTTTCAGTGCCGCCAGCTTGGCGAAGAATGAGTAAAGTAAAAATTTATTTTTCTCTTATTCATTTTATGGTAAATTGTAAAATCATATGTATTAGAATTTTGTAATATACGTAAATACTTGACAGTTATGTAAAGTAGAATTTAGTCTAGAAGCAATAAAATTTTTAGATGCTAAAAGTAAATGCTCAAAAAGCAATGAATTCAAATTTAAGTATTAAACAGTATATAAATCATGCTTTAGAGCGAAAGCCTGCATGTCTAAAGATGAATGAGGGGGAAGTTAGAATGAATGTGTTTTGTAGGGTTCTCCACCTACACTTGAATTTTAAGAATGTTAAAGTAGCTCATCGAGTTGTAGAATGTCGAGTAAGGTGTGTCTATTTGGTCGTTGAATTCTAACAAATCATTGTAGTTAGCGGAAGTGTTGCAATACTAAAACACGAATATTCCCGTTTGACACCGCACATGGTGGAGAGCCAGGGTAAAGTTAAATTCATGTTTGAATACTTGAATGAATGTGAAGTAAGCAGTGACTAAGGAAAATAAATTGTTCAAAAACAAAAACTTATTCAGTGTCAAGAAAGTGTAAATTATAATGTATTTAGAAAGATACTGATACTTATTCCTTCCAGATGCTGGAAGGAAGAGAACAGATTGATTGCTGAAGTCCAGGAAAAGTTGCTTTAAGAAGAGAGAATTAAATAAGTATATACAGAAATTTACTATACCTTTTGTGAGACAACAGATTTTTTTATGTAAACGAGGCTCTTAAAATTTAGTTCGGAATTGTAGAAACTTTTTAACAGGTCGTTTGTAGGACCTGCTTCCAAGTTTTCCAAATTCTGGCAGCGGCAAATGTAGGGTTTATATTTATTTAACTAACATTTATTTTAAGTTTAAACTATCTTTCCTGTCAAGCCTTACTTTCCCCTGGAATTGCCAATACCAGAGTATGTAAATTTTAGTAAAACGCGCAAGGATTCAAATTATCAGCGGAAGTATTCTGAGTTAAATAGAAAGGAAACGAGTTCGAAAGAGTGCTTTCTTACTTCACAGCGTGGAGGTGGCTAGTTAGAAATTGAAGAACCACGCGTTTCGGCCTGTGTGCTTGCCTCGGCAGTTTGTTAATCTTTCAACGTAATATTCAGAAGTTTGGCTAAAGTATCAGCGTATTTTAGAACGCGGCGAGGTTAGTTACGTTTAGAGAGCCTCGTAGTTAGTCACTTGTTACTATTCTTTTCTTAGTTTCTTATTTTTATTTTACCGCCGGGTCGGCGTCGGTTGTGAGCGTCAAGAGCACGCATTTGTAATTTCTAAAGTTGAATAAAAAGGGATTTAAACCCTTCGCAAGACTTTGGTCTATTTCCAGTTCTCAGCAGTCACCACTTTGTTGCGTGCAGGTTGGAAGCGCGCAACTTTACAACCTATAATTTCAATTCGTTTTAGATCGGTTCAATTCATATTTCCAAGTATTTCGTCTGAGGCAAACTCATTAGACCAATGCAATTTTCTAACAACTGTTTCTCTACAGAATGAGTAACAGTGAAATTAAATGTACTGGATCAGATCTTCATACTTTTATTCTCTTTTAAGTAACGACAGAATCAGAATCTGCAATTACCGAATTAAGGTTACTTCCTTTGTAAGTCTCTGATGAATATTCGAATGATTTGTCATCAAAAGAAACTTTATTCCTCAAAGCTTATGAATGACGTAACTCATTTTCATAACCTCCTACATTAGAACATTTGTCATTAAAAAATATGAGAGCAGACTGAAATATAAAATTAACTCCTATCACAATCCGCTCTCTAATTGTACGTATACGGTACACGTGTGCACTAGTAGAAAATGCTCCTGAGGCAACGTGGTACGTAGGTGCTTCTCTCTTAAAAAATTTATTTATGTGCAGAAAATAGATAAACAGAGATCTTAATGTATTACTATTTTATGTCTTTTTTGACAAACTGCAAAAAAGATGCCGACTCAAGGAGCAAAATATTTTTTATTACTGAGGCGGCTAACGCGTTGAATATTCGAAATTCTGCTAAACAGTAGATTGCTCATTTGCAAGACTATTATATATTGAATGCCTATTACATCTTCGTTGCTTTACCTACACATGTAACACATGTCTTTCCTGTAAGAACTGCAAAGTTTTTTTTTCCCCAATGGCAGATTGTGAACAATTACAAATGTAACCCACTCCATTAATCTATACAAGGCCGGATGCGGTGGTCTCCTTTTTATGGAGGCACCTAATAGGTGGGCCACCATCGCCTTTCCTATGAAGGGACGGACAGTTAGAATCTCCGGGATTCGAACCCAGGCCCTTCGGCATCGCAGTCAACTTCCCTGACCATTATACCGACCGAGCGGCAAGAACTTCAAAGTAATTCTTTCAGAATGATATCTAATAGTCATGGTTTCTCCAAAAGTGAAAGATCCAGGAATATCTGAAAATTGAATGCCTTAGCATTTTATATTTTGTATTCTTGCTACACTTCAGTTCACAAAGTATGCGAATCTAAAGTATCTGCATAATTTTGCGATTTATAAAAGGTAAGAAGCATACTAATATTTCTTTCATATTTCTTTGTTAAAAGGCATAAAAGAATGAAGAGTGCTTTGCGAAAAAGTCCTTCGAGTATTTCGTTAATTACGCCAAAAAGCGTAATTAACGAAATACTCGAAGGAAAACAGGTAAATGAAGGAAGTCATTTACCTGTTTTCAGTAACTCAGAGTGATGAGTTATTGGATCAAGAATATTTTCCCTGCTTCCAACAGAATTTTATTTCATGGCGTTTGGCCACAATTTTCCCCAAACTGAGCTTCTGGTGAAATGCAAAAGTCACACGTTTTTGTTTGTTACGTTATTAGGTTTTGAAAGCATTCTGAGTAAACAGAGGCAGAGAAAGCTAACCATGTAAATGCGAAGTTTTGAACAAAAGATTAAATCAAAGTGGGAAAGCAATGAGAAGCCTTTTCGAATATTGGCAAATAAAATGCTAGTAGAGTCATCTTAAAGGGTGAATATCCATGAAAGAAGCGTCATTCCAAAGGATGCCCGTCTATCGGACTTTTACTATACCATGGGAAGAAAAATGATGATTTCATGCAGTTGAAAAAAGGAAAAAAAAATTTCAGTTTTATTGACTATATTAAGATTAAAACAATCATTTCATATAGTCTATCGCTGATACTTATTAACAGCGGAAGAAGCTATATTCCATATATTGAAAAGAAATTACGAAACTTAAAATAGAGTATTTTTCTAAATTAAATACGTTTCCTAAAGATCATTTACTTTGTTCAGAAAGAATTCGATAAGGAAACAAATTTTGAAAAATTCAAATCGCTTGAATTCTAAATTTTCCTTCTGCATTCTACAAAAAATTTTTAAGTTTTCATAACTTATCATATTGAATACTGAGACTAGTTATACTTTACTTGAAGATTTCAGGTGTATTTTCATTCTGGAGTTGATAAGTTGGTTTTCGTCTTGCCCTAAATTATTTTCTACTGCAAGAAGGAGATACTCTTGTAATAGAGAAGAAAGTAAATGAAATGCAACTGAAAATATTAAAAACACAAAAAATTAAAAGTAATTGAAATAGCAGCAAAACATTCAGTTTCTAAATATTAAAGTAGTTTGCAAGTAAATATATTGAGTTTATACACAAAAAGTAAGGTCGTGTCTAAGAATTCTAAGGCCGATGCAACCAGTGCGGCCGTACCGGGCGGCAGAACTTAGTTTCCATAACATATTTAGAATTTAAAGAATAACTGAGCAGTAAAATTTGGGGACAGCAAAATTTTTACATCTTAAATAGGCAATCGGTAACGGAACTTAGGACTGGCAGCGATTGTACCGGGCTACAAAATGCTTAGCGGCTGCCCTGGGGCGGGGTGAACTTGTTAGGATATAGCCTAGGGCTAGTCTACGTAGAATCTACAGCACATAAACGCTAAGGAAGCTCAAAATCTGATTTCGAGCCTACGCTGGTATCAATTCTATGGCGATGTTCATTCTACACAAATGTCGATCTTATGCAAATATCATCCTAAAAATAAAAAAATTAATTGAATTCTTTTCCTCTAGCTTATTCGCCGTTTCTAATTATATTATTTTGGGCTACGTTATGCAATGTCATTGTATTGACCCTTTTAGACCTTGCAGTATTTGTGCTGTTTTGTGTCGATCCTATGCCGGCGTCAATTCTGCGCAGTTCGGTCTTATTAACTGACAACGCAAGGCCAGTGATGAGTCTATGCAATATCGACAGTATACCTGTGACGCTTCTTGTGAGGTGACATATCTGTATTTCTTTTCTTAATTATTTTTACAGCATCATCAAGATTTCTCAATCGTATGTCGTTGTGTCGATCGTATGCCCATAACTAATGTCGGTTGTATACCAGTGTCGATCATACGCTGGTGTCAATTCTACGCCGTGCTGAACTTCTTCAGTTTTGAATCTAGCGCCGATCCTATGAATGTAACTCTTTCAAAAAATCTCAAACTCTTAAAATAGCAAGCAAACTAATTTCTTTTTTCCTGTATGGGAATTCTTAGGTGTTTGGACTCTTTTTCAATCGCGAAGTTAGAAAATTTAGTTTTTTAGTTAGTCTTGGACTTTGCGTAAGCATTAAAACTTTAGTTAATCTTAGACATTGTGTAAGCACTGTTAAATATTAGTCTCAGTTGCAAAAGAACAAAAGCAAAAATTATTAGATCTCTGTTTCGTTCTTTGCTTGAAAAGAGAACTGAGTTATTTTCGGAAAGTTAATTAGTACCAATTTTAGTAACCAACTTTTTATTCTAAACCAGAAAAATACGCTTTGTACGTAGAAAGTTTCGACAACCAATATTACAAGATTCATAAAAGAAAAGGGGCAGGGAGAAAAAGAAAATGGTTACCGTTTTTTCTAGTCGTTTTTGTGTGGCATCGCATTCAAAACGGAAAACAAACGGGAGATTTTCATCCTATTTTGCCTTTTTTATCACCATAAATGTAAAAAATGTGATTCGAGCACGGTAAAAAAGTTGTGTACAGCGTATGAAGATCACCTGATTAAAAATTCGTATCAGAATTGGGTTCTAAATTTGTTCGGGAAATTGAAGGCAGCAGTAAAAGGCTAATGAAGACCAAATAAAGGCAATAATGGAACTAAATCATCGTATACAATGCAAATAAACTGCTGAGATACTGAAATTCTAGAATTCAAATATCCATACGCGTTTGAAACTACTTAGTTTCCTTTTGAATTTCGATGTTTGGAACCCACACATTTTCCGAGAAAAAGATTTGATGTCCGCAAGACTATATGAGATCTTTTTGTTGAAACTTAAGATAGCAGTGTATTTCCAAAGCGAAACATAACTTACGTTAAAAGATAAGTTATATACAGTAATGTTAAACGCAAGCGATCCTATAATGGAACTAGTTATTCAAATGAGTACTGCCAGCATTTGGACACATTGAATGATTCCATCAAGAGATGGAATTACAGATATTGAACACACACACAAAAAAAAAAAAAAAAAAAAAAAAAATATCGTATTCCACCGTGAGAATGCCAGACCTCACAGAAATTTAGAATCTCGTTAAAAGCAATTATATCTTAGATGAGATGTGCTGTTACATCCTGTTATGTTAGTTGTTACCGTGATAACAACGTCCGACACGATTTCGTCGTGGATTACACATGCGAGAAATTGGTACATAATTCTCTCTCTCTCTTTTATTTTTTTTTACTGTTGAAAGTTCAGTTAAAGCATTTAACTTTTCTGACATTCTGACTGAAATGGAATTCTAGATTCAGTTGTAAATATTGCTTGTTTTGATTTTTTTAAAACAATTTCAGAACACCCTGTAAATTAAATACACATACCGAGCATATTGCAGATATTCATTTTTCACAAAGGAATCAGAGAATATCACAAATGTATAACTATTTTCGTAAAGGAATTTTGAGAATGTATTTATAAAATATGATATCTTATAAGTATGTCACTACACATTTGGCAAACTAGAACCTGAATTTAAGAAAGTACCGTATTTTTAGTCCTTTAAGTCATGATTTTACTTCTCTAGATGTCCGGTAACTTTCAGTCCGAGTGCATGATATCATAACGTCTTTTACTTACATTTACTAAGCAATTTAATGATTATTAAGTTAATAATTATATATTTGTCTTTCTAAATGAAATAGTAATTAAAACATATTTTTACCCATAAAATGTATTATTAATTATAATCAATCATAATTATCATAATTATCATTCGATGAAAATTTTATGAAAGCACAAAAAAATGGCGACCCTCTGTACAATCAAAAAAAATTTTTTTAAATAAATTCAAAGAGGTAAAATCTTTTTTTATTGATTTATCTTTAATCCATACCTACAGATTTAAAAACGATTCATCACCATCTGAGATTAAAATGTTAATTGATTTCATTCTTATCTTCTGCTGCAGTTATTGCATCGCTGTATATTTTCTTTCCATAAATCGAATACATCAAGTAAAGTGCTCTTAAAATTTTTAACATTCAGACTGGATTCAAGAAATTTTAAAGTTTGCACATGGCAGAGCTTAAATTGCGCCGGCTCCGGTACTTCTCAGTTTTGGGGATAAATTCTAATTCTAGTCGGAGCGCACCGGAGCTCTAAATGATTGCAAAAGTTTCCGTACTTCTTTTATGTAACTGAGCAACAATTCCAGTAGAAATTTGGTCTCGAAAATTTTATTTTTACCTATAAAGTTATATTAAAAATCGCTTATTAAATTTTAATTTATCTCTTTGAATTTTATTTAATTTTAATCATTTAATCACTGAATTATTTTAGTAAATAATAAATTAATTATGAATAAAACAGTAATTATCAATTAATAATTATTAATTATAAACGTCAGTTAAACAATTAAATAGCCATAATAATTAAATAATTATTAATAAATTGGATAATCATTAACTATTAAACTTCATTAAAATTATTAATGATTTTAATAATCGTTTTATTCATTTATTTACTCTTGTTCTTCATTCCTGACGGTCTTCCACAGGGTTCCGGCATTTCTACTTTTAGAAGTTAAGCCCTGGCACATGGTAGTGTGTCCATCAGATATTTTTTGAGTATCCATTTTTCCACAGCGCTTCAAATTCTAGCCTGTTCTGAATCTTACTTACTTTTAAGGGATATTTTTGATTTCGGTATACTTTTTAATACACCCTTTGCTCCCTTGCTTTCGTACAAATTTTCGTTTGTATTAAATTTTCTAAATACTACGCACTGAGGGTAAACGTATTTCTCCGACTAGTATCTAGGAACATAAGGTGTATATTGTCTAAAATTCATCTTTAATTTGCCAAACTACCCAGATATGTTTGTTCATCTTGAACTTTTCAATAAAATATCAGATACAAAGTCAATAACAGCTGGCATATAATTATAGTACCAGTTTAAAAATGATTTAAATTTTACACAGTTTTTTTTTCAAGACACACAATAATGTATATAAAAAATAAATACAAAAATACTTGCTAAAGTTGTTCGAACAGTTTTCTGTTAAGACGCAGGAGATCTTGCTAAATGTGTATACCAGTTGGAGTACGAAATACCTTGATTGGAGTAAAACATTTCTTTCTGAACTATCCTTTAAGGAAATAACATTAATGTCAGACTACTAAATCACATTTGTGGAATTTACTTATTTCATGTAACCTTTTAAAGTTAATTTATTTATTTTTTAAAAATTGAACAACTAAAACAAAATTGTTCTTTTCGTGTTAACTCTGACTAATAGAAAACATAATATCATAATAGAAGAAGTCATTACCTTAATGTAACATTTAACGCTTAAAAAAATCTCTGTTTTTGTTTTAAAAAGGCATATAATTACAGTAACAGTATCAAAATCATTTAAAAAAATTGAGACAGTGTTTTTTTCAAAACACAGTTTTTTTTCAGACACACAGACATAGCAAGTAATTTTCCAGTCAAGCAAGTGATTAAGAATTCTTTTCTGCCTTGTTAGAAAAGCCATCAAATTTCCTGGCGACAAGCCTCATGAAACTTTCAGGGGTGCATCTGAATAAAGCAAGAGGTACAAAATGCAACGTTTTCGTAATCGCTCAATACCCTCAGAACAAAGATTGTAAAACAGACTACACACCATCAATATTTGCAGCCAGAGTTTGGCAAATGTAAAAGATCTGCGAGTTCTGAGTTAATGTATCGTGAACAGAGAGGGCATACCCAGTCATAAAGTTGTACATATTATTTAAATATGTCATTCCACTAAATTCCAGTAGTAAATTGCAAGTCCCATGTTATACGCTTTCTAGTATTGAATGTGCATACATTCACGAATTAATCTCGGCTTGTAATTACATTGTACCATTTGTCTCGAGAAGCATGAAAATTTACCACTTTTACTCAAATGATGTCCTATATTTTACGGCAACTGCTGCTTAGGAATTTCCATTTCTAACAGAATGAACATCTCTTCTATAAAGCAATGCATGTTAAAACGTATCGTTTATTAGGTGCTATCCTTTATTAGGATAATTGTACCACAACATGAAGTTTACAAGGCCATTTGGCTAATCGTACGGTATACTGTTACTCATGCTTCTGTCAATTTTATAATTTTATTTTCGTTTGAGCTTTCGAAGCTGACACTTATAGTTTGCTATAGAAACAAATTCCGCGTATTTATATTTACAGCTGTTAATTTACGATCAATTTTGACATGGAGTGCAAAAATAAACATTTTCGATATATTTTTCTTTTTCAGTTTCATAATGGCAAGCACGTGGCTGAGGCTTACAAAGAGATATGGGAAGTTTATGGTGTCCATTGAACGCATGTGTAAGAACTGGCTTAAAAAATTTCGTTCTGTAGAATTTTCACTTGAAGAGGACCAACGTTCTGGCTGACCTTCTGAAGATGATGATGACAAAATTAAATTCGTAATTGAATCGAATCATCACATAACTATGTAAGAGATCGCAGAAAGGCTAAATGTATCGCACACCTTAAAAAGAATGCTCCATCTGCAAGCACTCTCAAAGTGGCAGGCTGAGTGGGACATTGCTGAGACCGGCAGACGTACTCATTATCATCCTTTGTATGTTAATCCAGCCAGGCTCTACTCTACCCGCATCTGGTCCGTTATGTTACAGGCCATGGACCCTTCCCGGAGTACTTTGCCAGTCACGGCACGACTGACACAGACCAGTGCAGCTGCGGTCACCTGGGTACTCCGGAGCATTACGTCACTACCTGCTCTCTGACCAGCGGGATGCACATACGTATTCCCACTACAAACATACAGGCATTCTGTAAGCTCATGGTCAAACAGAAGCACCTCTGCCGGCAGCTCATCAAAATTATGGAGAAGCTAGCCAGTCTCGGCACGGACCTCTGCGCAGCCCTGAACCTGGAGTGACCATTACAGCAGGAAGTATCCTCTTTTAATGGCAACAACTTTAATACTAATCGTTAGCACTTTACAGACTATCACTACATCTTTGTCTTTATCGTAACTTGTTATTTACACAAATGCAACAATTTTACTGCCAAGGTATACCACAATTGTTTGTAATCAATCATTCATTTTCAATAATGTACTCACGTATTTGAATTAGTGTTGTCTTAAGGGTTCTCTAGATCATGGTGGACGTGGTGCTATACTAATTAACCGTATATTAGAGGCATAGTGCCCACGTCCCCAGTTCCTTATCCTTATCCTTAAATGTATCGCACGCAACAATGGAAAATCACATAAAAATGTCTTGAACTCGTTAAGAAGTTCGATATTTGGGTTCCCCACGAAGTGAAAGAAATTCACTTAACATAGCCTTTCAATATTTGAGATACACATTTCAAACGTAATGTAATCGACCCTTTTTTGAAACGAATTATCACTGGTGATGAAAAATGGATCGTCTACAACAACATTAATAGAGAAAGATCACGGTTCAAATAGTATGAATTATCACAAATCATATCGAAGCTAAATTTCCTTAAAAAACGATTATGCTGTCAGTTTAGTGGGATTACAAAGGGGTTGTGTATTTTGAGCTGCTTTCAAGGAACTAAACGACCGACCCATGTTTATTGCCAACAATTTGCCGGTGGAAACAATGAAAAAGAAAGGCCAAAATTGGCAAATCGCAAAGGTATAGTGTTCCACCACGACAATTCCTGCAGCGATTGCGATATGCTAACTTTGCACCATATGACAAAGCAAGGCCTCAGATATTTTTAGCAACACGTACGAAGTTTTTGGAACTTCGTTGGGAAACAATGTCGCATTCCCCATATAGCTCCGACCTTGCACCATCGGATTATAATTTATTTCGAAGTTTAGAAAACTTCTTAAATGATAAAAATTTCAGTAGTAACTATACTACAAATCGCAGTTAGCTGAAGTTTTTGCTGATAAAGACCAGAAGATCTATGAGCGCAAAATCATGAAATTTCCAGGAAGGTGGCAAAAGGTCATTGAACAGTATGGAAGATAATTGACAAATTAAAGTTCATTTTTTACAAAGAAAAATACTGAGTTTTATTTCAAGCTAAAAACCGAAATTACTTTCCTGCCAACCCGATACTACATTTCAAGGTCAGTAAAACTTGCTAGATGCAAGCCACATGTCAAGAATGCATTCTTCACAAGAAGATCCTATAATTCATTGATGGATTATGTTTACCAACCGATGGATGCACATATTGCGGAAACAATACACGCTACTTTATATGACCGTACGCTACTTCACATGACCTGTTCTATGTAGTATACCCTACTTTATATGACTGGAGACTGCTAGGTGAGGCGATTGCAATATGCTAACTTTGATCCAGTTACTTTGTTCAATGTTTATTCCTGAAAGTTTGACGCCAGTTGTCGTTGGGAAGCCCGATAGTTTTCGTTGTTAGGCTGGAAACATCTATTCAGCTTATAAATACATGCTTCAACCTAATAACACTTGCTAACAGCAAAATTTTATATCACTTACTTGGATTACTTCTTTAATAATTTCATCCAGCCAGTTGATGATATCTTCAACAGACGAACATGCATTAAGTAAGCACTGCAGACGCTTCATGACTAAGTAAACGAAAAATATTTCAAAACTGCAAAATATTGTATCAAAGTTGTAAATGAGTTATTTTCTTCAGAAAAGATCATTCGTCTTAAATTAGAAATTTAGAAACAATGAGCAACTCACCAACAACTCACATTCGTAAGTTAATACATATTTTTACTTTTAACTTTAGTTTATATGGTCTTAATTTCTAAATTTTTTCTTTTATATGCAAAAAGAAAAGTCATTGCGTTATATTCCTGGAGAGCTCAGCTGCATCTGAATTTCAATTACCTAGACAGAACAATTATTTTGAAGCTTGGGCTAAAGTTTTAACTGTTTTTATTTGTATTTAATGAAAGGAAAAATGTCAAGGAATCATTTCACAATATTTTAAGGATTCAAAGCGATTGCGTCAACCCATCATGTCATCAAGCTTGTTCGATATTCATTCTTAAATATTTGATTTGGCTGCTGGCCTTGCGTAAGGACAAACTCATTACGTGGAAGGAGAAAGGTTTGAGGCTCGAATCCCAGATGGATCCCACTATTTTACGGCATCATTTTGCGCATAGGCAGTGTTATTCCTAAGATTTTTTTTTGGGGGGGGAAGAGTAAAAATACTCCTTGACTTTTTTAGGAGGAGTGAAACACGTAAATAGCATAAACTACATATACAGAGACAAATTTCCTATAAAAAAACACTTTTTTAATAGACAAAATGAAATAGAAAAAAAAATGAGGATGCTATTTTGGTTTTAGACAATTATAGCATATGTTCAGTTGTAAGGATCCTAAGCTTTACTAACGTTTATTTTATTTTAAATCTTTACTATCACTTCTTATTTTCTACTTCCGGCCAGAATTGAAAGTAACTTATTTAATGCAAATTTGTGGCTTTTTGCCAAGCAAGAGAGAGGAAGGAGTTATTAGAAGCAGGCCGCTTGCCATAGTAGTTTTACTCGGTTGCTGGTTGCCTTCAAGGCAAGAGATTTGGTCCTCTTGATAAGTTCAAACGTATCGTAGTTTTAGCAGCTCTTTGTACTACATACGGATTTTTGTTAAATAACGGCCAATCTTAAAGTTAGGCACTTGTATATTAATCCAAAGTTAGTTTTAGTTAGAGTTTTAGCAGTTTTATATTCTTACGTTCAGACCACAAGTGGTTGGTCTCTGTATTCCGAAGTTCCTGAAACCTCTGTAAAGATAGAAAAATAAAGGGTTTCGTATACCCTTCCTGTGTCTACTGTCTACTTCAATATTTATTGAACATAGCTTAGTGTTCTGTACTAGTGTCATGGCACCAAAAATGTTATGGCTTCCTAAAGGTCTGGTACCTAAAAGGTTTCCTACTCTGTTGACAAAACACTTAAAATTTTTCAACAACAGTAATATACTAATATCAATAAGCCCTGTACATTTGCGTTGTGTTTTCGGATTAACCCTGAAATCGATTTGAGAATGAGACGGGTGAAAATCATGAGCACAGACACAAAAAAAAAAAAAAAAATAATAAAAAAAAATAAATGAGCACACAAATAAATAAACATTGACTGATCTAGAAAAGGTGAGCCTATTTATTAACTTCTTCAAGAGTTAACTTAATCCATTAAGTTTGTAAGGCAATTTAATATTCAATCAGAACTATTAACATATTGATTATTACACAATGCATAATTAAACTTAGTATGCAAATTATATTCAAGCAAAACTGTAAAATATTGCTTTCTACAAATGTATACCCCTACCAGTGAAAATATTACATTTTATCTTAAGACTCTATAGTATCAAACTATTACTTCTATTACATTCAGGTAAACATAATCAGATAAAACCTTTGGATAAATTAACAATACCCTCCCCGGGGAGCGAAAAAAAGAATAATTAACTAAAGTTGCAGATTACTTGCATCAAAAAAAAAGAAACATTTCACACAGAAGTAATCAATACCAATGGAATTCAGGTTATTGCACATAAGTAATTTTCTATTTTTCAAAAGAAGTGATAATTTAACCGGAGTAAAATATTAATTCGAAATCATAGGCTATTACATCCTACAAAGCAAAGTTAGTCCCCTAAGAGGAGCAAAGAAGCTCAAATAATGACACCTTTACCAATCAATTTCTTCACCATGAAAGAAATTCACAAGTTCAATTAAATAACTTCATGAAGAACTTATTATTTCCTTAACCAATCTAATAATTTACTTTATGGACAAACAAATGATTTCATTAGAATTAGGTTAATTTACTCAACTACAATATTTTAATTCAACTAATTAAGTTATTTCAATCACTATTAACTATTTTAGTTGTTAGAATTACTATTAAGAAATTACTATTATAATTTACTATTAAAATTTACTATTATAATTTTTTTTTTTAACATCAGACCACAAAAAGAAAACAAAAAATAAAAAAAACTTATCTGCGGAAATACAGGCTGCAAGTGAACAGGAGGAGGAGAAATGCCCTCATATTTAAACATTATCAAGATGCCAAGGAGGACGGCTGCTGAGCGTAGTAGAAAATGAGAAGAGTTCATAGGTAAAGAATTTTCAATAGAGTCCAGAGTTACTACTTATTGATTTAGGATGCACTAAGGAGGTTCTCGTTAATTTGATAGTTGATTTCCAATCCAATATTGAAGTTAGCCGTGGTTTCAGTTAAGTGAAGCATTATGTAGTAGCGACCCCGGATCTAGCAATGCCGGAGACTCTTGCAGGACGGAAAATAATTCTTAAAGACGTGAAACATCGAGGCAGATGAAAACTCTATTCATGGAGGAGAGACTAAAATTTCTTCTTAACGGCACCAGTACTAGGCATCACCCTTCGTTTGCATTTTTCTATTTTAATTATCCTTGAGTAACTTACATATTCAAGCACTAAAATGATGAAACTATAATTTAGTCGAGGTCATGATGCGTATAACTAAGTCCCTCGTTCAAAACTCCAGGGCAAGAAGCCCGTAGATCCAAAGGCGGAAAAATGCATTTTCCAAAATAAAATTCAGCTGCCAGCGAGTACAGCGTCCGATGGTAAGTCAAAAGTGCAAAAAAGTGACCTTGTCCCCCAAAACACCCCGTTAAAAGGGAGGACGCCGGACTGCCTAATTGGCAAAACCCACTCTTCGCCGAAAGTTAAAATAGTTGCAACAACAGCATACCCTCATGTTATCTAACTCGCCAAATCCTCTACTTTGAAACCTCAACGGAAAATCTATGTCGCCAAACCCTCGCAAAAAAAAAAAAAAAAACCACCTGTGACAGGGGAAATTAGGAATTTCAACAATCCTGCAAGGGTCCCAACGAAAGAACGCTGAAAACTCGCAAAAGTGACTTTTCAACCGGAAAGAAGGCATTTCATCCCCCCTTTAACTAAATCACAAGCAAACGAGGAAAAAAAACTACTATTAAAGCTCATAACTGAAATGCAATTAAAGTTAGAGAAACGAAAGTTATGCCAATTAAAGACTAATTTTCTGCAACTAATGATATTAAATACTAAGAATCAAATTATTTTTGACATGAAAACTGAGTTTATTACGTACGTAGAAAGAAATACTTATCCATTGTTTGCGTGTACAAGATTGAAGACGCAGTTCGCGTAAACTCGGAAAGCCAAAATATTACACTAGAATTAAAGGCCCAAAAAGAATATAACCAAACTTGTGTAGCTCAAATTTTGAATAATTACAAATTAAAATTTTGATTTTTATGAATCACTTAATTAAATTAAATTCGCTACACAACATTAGTGTAAGCTCCCTGTTCCGAGTCAGGACAGTTGATGTTTCCAAAGCAAGTAAAGAGGAACACAAGTCCTGATAGTGGCGCCCGACGAAGAAGAATAACTATGGCCGAGTTTCAAGAAGAACCTGTGGTGCCTGCAAAAGCAGCTCAGAATCCAGAAATGCCAGCTGCCGCCCTGGAAGGATTTGGGTACATCGAACAGACCGTGCTCGCATCGATGAAACCAGAAGCAACATTCAATGGAAACTCACCGGTAACCAGTTTTTTGGAAAAATTGGATGACCACTTCATGCTGTACCCAGTCCATGAATTCCAGAAAGTCACCTTAGCTACCAGCGCTTTGAGGGGCCAAGCGCTTAATTGGTTCAAATGTATAGGCAGAAGCCTCTTGGGTCAAGCGGGAAGCCCCACCTATACTTACGAAAATTTCAAGACTGCCTTAGTAAAAGCCTTCCCTGTCGTAAGAAATCGTTCAAAGTTAGAAGCGGAACTCTTCAGCATATACCAGCAGCGAATCGAAAATCTTTCCACCTTTATTTTAAGAAAAATTCACGTCTTTAAACTCTTGTATGGAACCGTCCGGATCCTGAGATAATCCAAGTGATTTTGCCGAGGTTACTTCCCCAAGTACAAGACTTTATTCAATTAAGGAATCCGACTACACTGGAAAGTTATTTGAGCTAGCAATCCAGTTTGAAAGTAGAAGAACGGCGGACATTGAAAGAAGACGCCAGTATGAGCAACGAAGCCAATTTGGTGCGCCAAGACCACAGCAAAGGCAAGAACACGGCTACGGAAGCAAATCGAATCAGTGGGCAAGGAAACCTGAGTATCCAAAAACAACCGGCGAACGTCGACAGTTCAATAGTAAGCCAGAAAAAAAGTCTGAAGGCCAGCGGAAAAAGAAGGAAGGCATGGAAAGGAAGAAAGAAAATTTAAACTAAAACGGATTTCTGCTGACGGGAGGGTGCGGAAATCCGAAGGCCAAGAAAACCCCTCTTCTTTCAAGTTAAATACAGTTATTGTGAAAAATTTGACTCTTCCAAAGATTGAAGTTTTGGTGAACAACATCCCAGCCACCGCACTCCTGGATACAGGCGCGCAGTGTTCCTGTGTGGCAGAAGATTTTTTTAGGAAATATTTCCGTAGATACCGCATATATAATTCGGATAATACGACAGTGTTAGCTGCGCAGGGAAAGATGCAAATGCATAGGTAAATTACCATTATATTCGTATCAAGGACGAGCAAGTAAAGATCATGTTTTTTA